GTTTCATTAATTTGTATTATTATCAGTATGCTTTATTAACTTGTATTATTATCAGTATGTTTTATTAATTTGTACTATTATTATCAGCATGTTTTATTAATTTGTACTATTATTATCAGTATGTTTCATTAATTTGTATTATTATCAGTATATTTTATTAATTTGTACTATTATTATCAGTATGTCTTATTGATTTGTATTATTATCAGTATGTTTTATTAACTTGTATTATTATCAGTATGTTTCATTAATTTGTACTATTATTATCAGTATGTTTTATTAACTTTGTATTATTATCAGTATGTTTATTAACTTGTATTATTATCAGTATGTTTTATTAACTTGTATTATTATCAGTATGTGTTATTAATTTGTATTATTATCAGTATGTGTTATTAATTTGTATTATTATCAGTATGTGTTATTAATTTGTATTATTATCAGTATGTGTTATTAATTTGTATTATTATCAGTATGTTTTATTAACTTGTATTATTATCAGTATGTTTTATTAATTTGTATTATTATCAGTATGTTTTATTAACTTGTATTATTATCAGTATGTTTTATTAACTTGTATTATTATCAGTATGTTTTATTAATTTGTATTATATAACAAACTTATGTTTAGTGACTTTAAGAAGCGCTTCGACTGCACTTTTCTGCCTGTTTGTTGGTCAAGGTGGATTTCACAATTTTTTTAAGACATTTCACTGCAGTCAGGAGGGCTGGTGGGCCATCAGAGGGTTACGCCCTCTCAGTGGCCAGCAGATGTAGAAGTACACAGTGTAAATAAGCAACGAGAGATGAGTAAGTGAGACCAGGCACTGAGATGGTGAAGACGAGTTTAATGTACGCTATTAGGAAACGAGATGATGTAGTCGAGATGATCAGATGGCAAAAACATAAGGTAAAGGTTCAGGAGATGATCCGTCGGAGGTTAGAGTTTGAGAGGGGTATTAACCGAATTGGATAGGATTTTGTCGAAGATATGGTTGTGATGATCGAAGCAGCGGTGAACATACTTCACACGTAGTTCACGTAGATGTGCGAGTAGTGGGGGGGGGGAGGTGAGAGAGTATAATTCCTGTGTAGGACTGGAACGACGTAATTGAAAGGCTGTGGTAATGCGTGGCGTTTCAAAACTTCCAGCCGATGATAGAGTGAAGATGGAGCAGAGATCCAGTTAACATGACCATACGTGAGGCAGGGTCGGACAAAAGCTTAGTAGGAATATAAAAGGAGTTGGGGATTCAAACACCATGATGAGCCACAGAGAAGGCGAAGTAAATGTAGCCTGGAATTAACCTTCGTGTGTAGGATGGCCAGGTAGGCTTTCCAGGTGAGATGGCAATAATAGGTAATTCCAAGATATTTAACTGTATTGGATAGGATAATAGGAATGTTGTCAAGTCGGACATCGAAGAGAAGTGGATTGCGGCATGATGGACGAAACTTGTGGTGAGTCGGGCCAAAGAGAATAGTTTTGGTTTTGTGATGGTGACGGGTAAGCCTCTAGTGTCTGCACCAGGAAAGAAAAGAGCTGACGGCTTTCTGCAGGACTTTGTTGAGGGTGACCATTGTAGAACAAATGGCAAGGAGAGCTCTGTCATCGGCGTATTGAAAGAGATAAACTGGAGGCCGGAGAACGGGCATGTCAGCAACATATACGATGTACAGTAGTGGAGAAATTACGGATCCCTGTGAAACGCCAGCACGAGAATGAATACCATTGATGGAAATGGTAGCTCTTCGATCCCGGAGAAAGGAAAAAATAAGTGTAATGTAGGAAGCAGGAAAAAACAGGTGTTGAAGTTGGTAGATCAGCCCCCAGTGCCAAACAGAATGAAAGGCTCTTTCAAAGTCAAATAGAATGAGGCATGTAGGTTTAGAGATGTTGAAGAGGTTTGTAATTAAATCGGAGAGCTTGAGGAGCTGATCTGTAGTAGTGAGATGAGGGTGGAAATCTGCCTGGGTATGCGGAAGCAACTGATTGTCTGCAATGAAAGAGTGAAAATGACGAACAATGATGCGTTTAAAAGTCTTGCTTAGGACATTGGTTAGACTAATGACCCTATAGGAATCTAGTTGAACTGGTGGCTTGGATGGTTTCAGGAAAAGAAGGATGGTTGATGACTTCCAAGTGGTAGAGAAGAAACCTGTGCGAAGTAGAAAGGTGTAGAATAACGCCAATAGGGTAATAAACTGAGCAGGTGAATTAGAGAGATGGGAATAAGTGAGACCATCTGGACTGAGGGCTGAGTTGCGACGATGACGTAAGGCAAGTCGGAAATATTGAGAAGTAATTGGAGCACACAGGGGGTTGGTTTCCAGAACATGGGTGAGAGAGAGGCCAAGAGTTTGAGAAGTAGGAACAATCATCAAAGTCAAGGAGGATGTGGTGGTGGAGAATTGAACTGCGACTCAAATTGGTGTGAATAAGCACTGGCATTGAGGAGCATAGTAGTAGGAACCTGGCCATCCACAAGGATAGGATAGAAAGGGGAGTGATACTGGCCAGTGAGGATGTGAAACTGAGTCCAAAACTGAGAGAAGAAAGGGGAATGATGAAGTCTGTTGCACAGGTAATGCCAATAGCGACGTTTAATAGCTTGAATGAAATTTCTGTCCGTGTGTTGGAGATCTCTGGATTGGTGTAAAACAAGTGGATCATGAGAATGGTGATAGTCATGGAGGAGTGAGGAGACACGGCAAAGAAGTGTGATGGCTTGTTGGGGTATGGAGAGATGGAAAGTAGATGACAGCAAAGAGGGGATTGAGCGAGCACCTGCAGAGGAAATATCTGATGTTAGGGTATGTTCAAAGGCATCTACACTTGAAACGGTGGTAGGGTCAAAATTCCAGGAGTGGTACACAACAAGAGGGGGGCCAAAATGCATAATGACTGACAAAAGCACTTCAAGTAAAAAAAAATCCGAACAAGGTAATATTGAAATAAGAAAAATACACATTAATACACTAACGAGAAACTACAATCAGGAATCAGCACAGTAAGGCATAATCCAAAAGGCTCCCAAACCTGGGGTCGCCAAAATTTATTTATTTCAGTTAGCTATGAAATGTGATGTCAGGGTTTACTATAGGGTGGGGTTGGTAATAAAATCTGACCGAGTCCGTTTTTAACGAGCTCTACGCTAGTAATACAATAAACGTCTAATATAATAAATTAAAAATAAACGTCATTCTTATTGACATTCATTAACTAACTGTCAATTGTTTGTTTAAAAGTTGTAAAACTTTCTACTTCTACAAATTAAAATACTTGAGTGGATATCTAAATATTTAGGTGCTAGTTCAGGAATAGGTAAAGCCACTGCTGTGTTGTTCTCACGCCTGGGAGCGAGGCTAGCTCTGACTGGAAGGAACCAAGAAAATTTGACAAAATCTGCTGAAGAATGTGAAACAGCTTCACCTTATAATCTAAAGGTTTGACTAAACATTATATAACATAGTCGTATTTAATACATAAGGAATGTTTAAATAATAATTATTGAAAATGTAGTAATTTATAAATGACCTTATAATCTAAAGGTTTGACTAAACATTATATAACATAGTCGTATTTAATAAATAAGGAATGTTTAAATAACAATTACTAAATGTAGTAATTTATAAATGACCTTATAATCTAAAGGTTTGACAAACATTATATAACATAGAAGTATTTAATACATATGAAATGTTTAAATAACAATTACTGAAAATGTAGTAATTTATAAATGACGCCATATTGGTTTTTAACTGAAGTAAATATGTTCATATAAATTGGAACTGTTGTTCCCAAGATGGAGAAAATAATGAGCAAGTCTGATTTAGTTGGACCTTTAATTGAGAAGGAGAAGAAGGAAATAGAGAAACATATATTCTGGTTCTGTGAAGAGAAAAACAAATGGAAATATCCTCGTATCACGGTTCTATAATGTATTATTTAATAGATACTTAACTTGTCTTAACCCAAAATATTTGTTCACCAACACATAAACAAACACCTGCACACAGAGAAATAAAATATAGAACATAAATAATTAAAGGTTCCAAATATTCGATTCAAAAACGTCCAACTCGAGTGCAATGTGGATAGTAAACAAATGTTTTATAGTAATTAAAACGTAATAAATTATAATTAAAACGAGATACATTATAATTCAAACAATGAATTATAATTAGATTGTAATAAATTATAATTAAAACGTGATAACGTGTAATTAAAAGGAGATACATTTTAATTAAAACGTAATAAAATATAATTGGAATGTGATAAGTTATAATTAAAACCTAATAACATAAATAAGAAAATTAACATAGTAGTTTATTTTATGAAAAGATATATTTTAATTATTTCTTAGTAAAATCATAAATAATTTTGATTTCAGAAACTGTTATTTTTTGACTTAAATTTTTACTTTTTTAAGTAAACTCCATATGGCACAAAATCATCAGTCTCTTCTCCAAAATGTTTTTCTTTATAAATATGTCATTTTTATTATATTAACAATACCTATATAAATATAAAGGCATTGTCTGTTGTACTTCCATGTAACTACTTCGCAGGGTGTGGATGGATCTTTACCAAAACTGGTATGGAGGTTCATTAGGTCCACGCGGGAGAACATACAAATTTTCAATTTTGCAGTTTTTACGGGCGTTTTTTACTACTACTTCGCCCTCTGTTGATGGATCTTCACCAAATTTGGTATGAGGGCTCAATGGGTCCATGGGGAGATACATGCGAATTTTCAATTTTGCATTTTGTGTTTTGCGGTTTTTACGGACGTTTTGTACTAATACTTCGCCCTCTGTAGATGGATCTTCACCAAATTTGGCATCAAAGTTTCTTACTATGTTTGCAAAATCTCAGGTTTCTAGGTTTTTTCCTCTTGGGTCTATGGCAGTCACACACACTCAGGCACGCACGTGCATGTCTGGCTGGCTGTGATTTCTATTCGTAATATAAGGAAGAACTTTTCTATATGGTTTTTAGCATTAAAAGATGCGCATGCGCGCACGCACATGGATAAGATAAGTAATACCCAGGTGCACACCCTCAAGGTCCACTTAGTATAGGTGCAAAATTTCAGGTTTCTAGGTTCTTTGCTCTTGAAGCTATTGCACTCACATATTCATTTCTATGTGGTGTTTTGCTAGCTTTCCTCATAAAAAAGATTAGCACGCACGTGGATAAGGTAAGTAATACATAAGTGCAAAATTTAAGATGTGTAGGTTATTTTCCCTTGGAGCTATGGTGGTTACACTTCTTTTCTATGTGGTTTTTCGCTAGCTTGCCTCATTAAAAAGATGCGCTTCCGCACACACGTGGGTAAGTAAGAATACTTAGGTGCACACTCTCAGGGTCCACTTAGTATGGGTGCACAATTTCAGGTTTTAGGCTCTTTCCTCTTGGAGTTATGACGGCCACACCCAGACATACAGATCCACAGACACAGCCTTTTAATTTTATAGATTTATTATAAAAATCGCTGGGTGTCTAGAATTGTTCTTTAACTGGTAATTTGAATGTTTTCACCTCTGACGATGGACGTGCATGTTTAACAAGGTCAACTTCTTTACGGTACCTTCATTCCCCAAATAACGTTGCCTGATAACTTAGATGTATATGGCCTACGACAATACGTTATGTTTACCGGGTTCTTATACTATCAACTAAATATGTCGTACTAAGGCTGACAACCCAAGGAACATATTCCTGCATAGAAGTTTAGTGGATATACATTCTGTATATATATGTACAGTCTGTAGATTCTGTTGATGTTGGTACGCTTACACATAAAGCAGAAAAACAGAGGAAAACCTGTACATTTGTACATGCGCAAAAGAAGATTCATTACCATTACCATATATGGTGTTTCATGGCGGACGCAGTTATTATCCAACCACCTAGTGTTTGTTTATTGTTAAAAACACAAGGCTACACAATGATCTCTCTGAGATCTGCACACCGCAAGTATCGAAGCTCGATTTTTAGCCTCTCTGACACTACCACTGAGATAACATGACGATAGTAAAATCATTCACATTTAAAACTTCAACAAAACGTGATTCCACGTGATCTTCAACACTGTCCAACAATGATCCTTTAAAGTCAGAATGATGTCGGGAGTGACAATATTTTGACTTCTAAAACGTCTGTTTGGTATTTCTTTGATAAATAATCTTGAAAACTCCCCCTACTTTTAATTTCTTCTTCAAACATTCATTCATTATCAGAGTTTTTTTTGTTTTTTTTGTTTCAAATATTTTTGAGGTGTTGTTATTTTTTCATAACTTATTACATTTTTAATACGATAACAAATTCTGTAGAAACAATATAACATGAAGCAATACTTTAACGGAACAATTTACTGCACGACTCAGTATGTTTATTTCTGTTTTTTAACTCAAAAGGTTCACTTTCTTTTGTATTTCAGCCTTTGTGTATCGTCGCTGATTTAACTATAGAATCAGATATCGATCGGATTATGAAGTCAACAATTGACACCTATGGAAGACTGGATATTCTGGTGAGTTTATTTACTAGAAAAAATATAGATTAACACATTATGTTTATACCATAATTATTTTTGTTCTAATTTTTAGTAAAACACATAGACATTCGAAAACTAGTGTTACATTATTGTTTCTGGTCAAAGTTTAAGTCTGGTAGACCCACCTATAAACAGGAACAAAAAAGGCTTAGAACTATCAGTAAAGGATCAAAACTAGTACCATTTTTAAATAAACAATTTGCACTAAGTCTGTAGTTACCATCTTTTTTTATGTATTTACGTTCGCGTTGGTGTTTTGCTTTTCTAATTATATACACACAGGGGTTTCTTTTCATAGAGCAGGGAGGAATTATTTTCCATAACTAAACTCAGTATACTATATTCAAATTTGAGAATTTTATTTCTAAATGACAATTATCACCTTCGTACATCTTTCTAAAGTTGGTGATATGTTTTGTAGGAGCTTCATAACACGGCTCTTGTGTTACTTTTCTAAGCCTAAATGTTGGTGTGTTATATTGTTTACAATTCTAAGAGGGGTTCCTACTTTACCTACAAAGTATCAAGATGTTACTGGGTTTCCTTCTATGATAAGTTGGTTAAATTTATCCACTACCTCTGTTACACAAGTTAGAAATCGTTCTAGAATAGCTAGTTTTTTACCACTGGACCTAAGCCTTCTCTTGCTTTAAAGATATAGTTAAATACTAACAAAAATCCTTTCTTTGAAGAAATAAAACACTTTTCACACTTTGATAATCTCGGAATAAGGATACATTCTGTAATGTAATCTTTTGTTTTGTTTTGTTATCATCAAGTTACAAGGTTTTGTACAAGTAGTTTACACTGACTCAGATATATATATACCGGATATTGTTACACGATTAAGAAGCGATATCTTTGCCCCCCCCCCCCCAGTGTGTTTGTTTACAGTAGAATTGTGTCAGTGTAAACTGACATCATCATCATCATCATCATCGGACACTTGTACCTCATGATGACAAAACCTTGTCGAAACGTTGCAAATTAGCTGTTATGTTAAACTTATATTAAAGTTTTTCTTCATTGCCCATTCAAGCCGTCTCCAAGCATTATTAGTCTCAAAGTGGGTTCCTCCTTATCGAAATTAACAATGTTGTTTGTCTTCAGGTTAACAGTGCTGGTATGTTAGCATTTGACTCTGCTCAAAAAGGTTCTTTGGAGACACTAGATTTGGTGTGGAAAACCAATGTTCGGTAAGGAAGTTTACATCTATTAGGTTTGTAGAAAAATAAGGAAATAATAAGAAAAAAAGATGTACAAGTAAGAAGAGGGCTATGTATATAAATATGTACGATTTGTAGTCAAATGTAGAAAAAATACTGTATACACATGGTAGTTATATAGAAAAAATCAGGAAAAGAAATATTGAAAAGCTAGCAGTGTTACTCGATGTTGACCGGGTTTTCCAAAGAAGTCCTACTCTCTATGTTTCCGCGTTGCATATTTTGATAGGTTAAAAATATTTTGTTAATTTATGAAAAAAAACAACAACCTGAGGTTTGATTTTTGAAAATAAAATGCGAACCTGTTTTAAATCAGGGCTTCATTATGAACGATATATTTTTGTTTTTCCTTCACTGGCAAGGATAAATAGGCCCTTATGGAGGATATTTAGGTTATCTTGTACAGTTCTAGTGAACAGGAAAAGCCTACTTCTATTCACACCCCCCCTCCACTCCTTCTTAAATATTAAAATTTCAAACGTTTAATATGTATGTAATATTATGTTCAATTTGCTTTAATGTAAATTTAATATATTTGTATTAATGTGATAAGTATATGAAATATACTACAAACAAAATACAATATTGTACTCTATAATGTATTTAAAAAAATCCACTTCCAGGTATCAAAACACCCAGAGAGAAAAAAAGTAGAATAAAATACATCGGCTGACTTGACTTTAATCTTATTGTACACAATAATTATTACAATTTAGGCCTTACTCTTTTCACGTAGTCTATTTTATGGTATACTGCATACATTTATTTTATAGGCTAGGCCTACTGTTTGCTTTTTCACACATGACATTCTAATTCTGCATACATTTCTTGTGTGTAAGATTAAATGTACAGTTAAATAGTAACGATTTTTTAACTAAATAAGCCTATAATGTTATATTCTAAATTAAATGTTAACTCAAACTTACGGGTTCGGTTAGCAGATGATAGGCACGGTAACCAACGAAAAATTGTCGTTTGGCGCATCTTTACGTGAGGGAAGTGTGACATGCGCAGTGAATGCAATGAACAAACAAGCAAGCAAACAAACAAACAGAGAGATTTTGAATTTTATATGTAAATAAGGAGAGTACTTTATACATATATTAGAAATATAGATAAGGAAAATATTGTAAGGCTAGCTTCTGGAAGTTTCAACCTTTAGTTTATTGTGAACAAATTTCGTTACGATTCATATGTTGGAATATTATTTTCTTTAAAATAAAGCAGTGTGTACGTTACAATATAAATCATTATTTAATCGTCTCAAAGTAAAATGTAGAATTAGTGGACATGAAATATCAAGTAATATAGAAATATTCATAAATAAAATACATTTAAAAATGAAATTCTAATAATTTGTAATTTATTTACAAACGCTTGGAAGCTTTCAATTGTCGTGGTAAAATAGTTTGGCAATAAATATTCTGTAGGGATATCTGACCGATCGTTCGATTTGTTTTGGTAGTAGCGCCATCTATTGCTTTAATAGTTAGTTTTAAAGGTGTTTAATTATTTTTCTTCTATGTTTTCAAAGAGCTGTCTATCGTTTGACGATGCTAGCTGTTCCTCACCTGATTGAAAGTAAAGGTTCCATTGTCAACGTTTCGGGCATTCTCAGCAACAGGGGAGTAAGTACTCTAGCATTGAAGAGCCAAGTGAAAAATTGTAGCTTTTAATTTAATTAAAATGTGTCAAGGAGTGATATTTTTTGTTATAAATTTTCCGTGTGTAATATATTTCGTTTCTCCTCTTATTGTCACGTTAATTTTTATCCTATAATTTACCTCACCCCTTTCGATCGTTGTGTTATTTATCATGAGTTTCTCGTCATAAGATAATTTGGAACACTCACTGTTAGCGACACTTTCGGTCATAATCCTATAAGAAAATTAGAGTAGTTAAAACTTAATTGAAAGCTTTAGTCAGATGTATTTAATTCTATTGAAGTCTATAAAAATGAAACATGACATTATTTTCTCTGACTATGACAATAAACAGAATTTGACATTATGGATCTAATTTATAATAAATATATTTCGACGAATTTTTCTAGTGTGCAACATTACTTTCCTATACCATGTCGAGAGGCGCTATAGATCAATTTACCAGAAGTGTGGCATTAGGTGAGTTTATTAATAAATGTACGAAATCTTGAGAACCAAACATGTTTTCATATTTACAAACTAAGCTAGGACTGTTTATTAATTATGAGTTATTTTTGAAGCAAGGTTTTGTTTATTTGTTCATTTTCATCATGAGTTATAGATTCCTTTGTCTAAGTGATTAAGTTATATACAGCTCCCTCTGTTTTATCATCAACTTTGACCAGTAGATTTCAGATTGTTATTTATACAAGTTTACCGAAATCAAACCAAAGTGTCGCTTTTAACTATATTTCATTAATCCAAGATTCAAAAATAAGAAATTTGTAAAGACAACTGAAAGCATGATAAATATTTTTCTTGTTTACGTTACACTGCTTTTCAAATAAACAATGTTACTGGCTTTTTAAAAGATTTTTATATGAAACCATCATCTAAAATCAAGTTTCCTTCTCGGACTAACGACAAAAAGCATTAGGAGTGCGTAATTATATTAACACAAAACAAAGGTCAAAGGTTAATAAATCGTGATTATTTTACTAGATGGTAATTAACCTAGTTAACGTTTATAGTTATACAGTGTTTTGACATTGCACAAGTAAACTTTATTTAGAGTAATCTGTTACACTTGTAATACAATGTAGTAACATTACACTCGTATATTTACGTTGAAAGAGGGTTACTGGCGTATAACAGACAAAACAGAATTTTTATTAACTGTGTTCACTAATAGAATGCAATCTGCATGTCGCGGGTTCGAATCCCCGTCACACCAAACATGCTCGCCCTTGCTCAGCCGTGGGGGCGTTATAATGTACGGTCGATCCCACTATTCGTTGGTAAAAGAGTAGCCCAAGAGTTGGCGGTGGGTGGTGATGACTATCTGCCTTCCCTCTAGACTTACACTGCTAAATTAGGGGCGGCTAGCGCAGATAGCCCTCGTGTAGCTTTGCGCGAATTTCAAAACAAACAAACAGTCAGTTGTCATGGTTACACTAACAAAAAAAACTTAATGACTGAAGTTCGAGAATTTACGTATTCTAGTAATAAAATTAGGCTTAAGATTTTAATTAATTAAATATGTTATAGAAACTAGTTGTGTTGGTAGCGCCTTCTGGCGACTGTATAAGGCCAGATCTTGCTCCCAAACAAGTCAGAGTGAACTCAGTAAAGTAAGTGTGTTTTTATTTGTTTATAATCTATATTTATAAAAGTGTTTTGTATGCATATTAATTTGTAATTTGTCTAATTTAAAACTGGGCGTAGTTTAGTGTTTAGCGTACTCGGACTGTCAATCTGAATATATATATACATATATTGCAAACCGTGGTGTCTGTTTGAATGTTCTTCTGTCTCCCGTTTGAAAAAGCTGTGCACGCAGACAAATCTCAACATTCTCTTTTGCAATGACGGGAGAGCAGACATGAATAATGTTGATGTTAATGTTGATTTACGGTATGTTATTGTTGAGCAGCTCTTAACATGACTGGGATGTTTTCAACAATTATATTTCGTGGTGGGCAGTATAAGTAGCTCAGAGCTTTGACTCTGAGTGAAACCAAGAGTGCAACGCAATCAACCTTTTTAAAGTTCATGAAATAACTTAAATTGATAGATTAACTTAACCTTTTGCCATCACTGGGGACGGGTATTTTTGCTTGTAGTTGATAATATTTTGAGTTGTAGAAAATTATGCTCCATAAGGAACATTGTATTTTGGGAGGCTATTTGTTTATCCACAACAGGTGTTAAAGGGGGAGGTGCTGTTTGTTCATCCACAACAGGTGTTAAAAGGGGGAGGTACTCTTTGGGCAGTCAGGGAAGATATATCTTTTTTCAGCTATTTGGGGAAGCTAAGCCTTCCTGAATCTCTTATACTTGCCACCACTGACCTGGGGTTCATGGTTTGCGGTCATGGATGATCACATAATAGTTGTCCAAGAGTTGGCAGTGATTATTCTATTAGTTCAAAATTATGTACAACAAATGCGGGTAGTTTGTGTAGTTTTACGTTGGGTTTGTGAAAAGTAAAATAACCCAGTTTGATGTATTTTTTAAAATAAAGAACCCAGTTCTGATGTATTTTTTAAAATAAAGTAACCCAGTTTGGATGTATTTTTAAAATATAGTAACCCAGTTTGATGTATTTTTTAAGATAGAGTAACCCAGTTTTGATGTATTTTAAAAAATAAAGTAACTCAGTTTGATGTATTTTTTTTCTATCTGAAGACAGTTGATCAGAAAAATCATCTAGAGCTGGAAAAGAACAGTTATTTGGATGACTTATCTGTTTATCTCCTGCTAAATTATCAAAAGTTAAAATTAACATATCTTATGGATGCTTCACAAAATTTGGATTATTTTAATCCCAATTGGACAAAACCATAATTATCAACAAGATAGGATATTAGTTAATCTGTATTGTTTGAATAAATATATGGGCGGGAGTGGATAATTGGTTACCATGTTAGTTACTGTTGGAAAGGTCTAAGGTACGAGACGATATGCTGCTTAACACATTCTACACTATCAGCTATGGGTACGTTATATAGTAGCAGTCAATCCCGTTTTACAGATCAAAGATTCGGATAAAACATTTGCTGCTGGATATGCCTTCCGTCTGGTCAATAGATTAAAATTAGAAACAGTTATTCCTGGCTGTTTAACCCTTGTGTCCAACAAGGTTCCATTCAGGTTGTAATATCTATTACCTTATAAAAATGGACTTTATGCTTTTGATGGTATTATTTAGATGGTATTATTGCAACAAATATGCTTGCAATTTCATGTAAAACTACACTAATATTGACCGTTCATAATCTTTATCTGATAGACTTGAGGGAAGGCAACTGATCAACAGCACCCATTGTTATCTCTAGTGTTTCTTTTACCTTACTAAATAGTTATATTTAAGTGTCACTCTTATTACACAGCCACAGCCACAAAGCATTCACCTCTAGGCTGAGCCTGGCTTCACTGCACAATTATGTCTTAATGTATTTATAAAGAATAATTTAATCGTGTCAAAACATTTCTTACTTTTTATCTAGTAGTATATACAGTAATGTAATAATGTGGTTTTGTTGGACTAAGGAGTCTTCTACGGTAGGTTTCTGTGACTTGTTGGCGATAAATTCAAAATAAACGAACCGTACGAACTCCATTTGTTTTGATAATAATATGTATATTCGAAACAAGTTAAACGTATATATAAAAATTATTTAAACTATTTATATCATAGTTGTATCTTAAATACTATACAGTTCTCTGCTTGTCAAAAGTCCACTTAGGCCTATTCGATTACTTTAGAATTCCGTTAACAAGCCGAACTATGTTTCTTTATTTTTATCTTAAATACTATCAGTATTCACTTATTCCTTTCTCTTTTCTTTTATCACAATAGTATCGGTGTATAATTCACTTACGCTGTCTCGTGAGTTACCGCAGTTGTATCCTGAACTTCCGATACTCGTCTGCTTTTTCGTATTTAGGTCTACTTCTAATAAACGTTTGCTTTTCGCATATAGGCCTACTTCCAATTAATCGTCTGCTCTATGTCAAAGTCCACACAGGCAGGTTTAATTGTTTTTGAACACCCTCTGACGAGACAAATTATTATCCTAAAATATCAGAAAACTGTTAATCTCACTTTAACATATCAACCATTACACTATTCACTCTTATGATGGTTAACTTTACGTTTTCTAACTTTTCTCTGACCGCAATTTCCTTTCACCTGGCTTTACTTTGGACTCTCTCGTCTGGTCACCGTTATTTATATCTCTCATTGAGGTATTCCGGAAATCTCCATAGCCTCAACATCAATAACTTACAAACACAACTTCCAATAATCGTCTGCTTTTTACTCTTATGGGGAAATCAAATAAAATAAGCAATCATGAAATGCTAACTCACAAAATAAATTAAATAATACTACCTACAGTAAACAGTATTTAGATATTTAGATGAATATCTATTGTTAGTATTCATTTTTATTTATCATAATTCTAATACTTTTAACTTAAAGTGTCGTTTGAAACCTGTGAGAATTTATATAGAGTCGAATATTTTAATTGATGAACAGTTAAATTTTGTAAACAATATATGACATGTTCATTTTTTCTTCTTATTTCTATTTTACAGTCCTGGAGTTATTGAAACAAACATCTTTTCAACTATTGGACTAGACGTAAAGAAAGTACGTATTTAAAGTGTATCAATTTGTTTTATTATAACTAAAATATGATTTAATTAATTAAAGTTAGAAAAGACAGTAGAATCACAGAAAATACAAATCATGACTTGTTAATTAAAACCAAAGATATAGTTGGTCTCTAATGGTTGTTTATATAATATAATGTTATAATTTACCCCTTTAATTACCTACTTGTTTTTATACAGTTTATATCAGCTAGAGTCCAACCATTGAGACATGTTATTTTCCTTGTTATAACATTCAGTGTTATTAACTGAACAGAAAACGGGTGAATCACTTATTTTATAAGTAACATGTATAGAGTAACCCAACATAAATAAGTGGCATTGGTTACAGTATTGATGTTATTTCTGTTTAAAAGAAATATTGACCGTGTCGGTATATCTAGGATTATGATAAACACACTGCACTCCATAATCGACTAAATTATCTCGGTGCAGTTATCAAAATGTGTTGGAGTTTCTGGTTTTTGTTGATTTATTTGCCCGATACAACATCGTTTCAACAAATATGAGTCATTACTTATATTAAGCCTAACTTAAGAATAACTAAATTTCTTTAAACGTTTATATCACAGGTGATGCAAGAAGAAGCACAGTTACGACCACTTGGTCGTGGAGGACAACCGCTAGAGGTCGCTACTGCCATCGCTTTTCTCGCTTCTGACGAGGCTTCGTTTATAACTGGAGAAACCTTGGTGATAGATGGTGCAAGAACCATCCCTTGCTGAGATGTCTTATTTGTTTCTGCAGTAATGAACTTTTTGCAGAAAATAAAACATTAGTTGCTGATTGTTCCGTTTGATGTGTAGTTATTTGTGTGTTTATATTCATGACATTAACAGTTGCTGTCAAAATATAAAAAACCTGAAATCCAGAAAGAGATCCTTAAAATGATTCTTTACTTGGTTGTATAAGCCTATAATTCAGTATTAACAAGTTAAACTTCCTGCTATGTTTAACTCATCTAAGTCTACTGTATCATGTAGTTTTGTTTATATTACCCAAGTCTTCTTGCTGTCTCTCCTACTTATGTAACTGTGGAGAAATGACATTTATCTATTTAGCTGTAACATTGTAGGTTTACAATGTCTATTGTTTTCTTTTGTTGTAGAACAAAGACATTTCCATGATAATTAGGTCTACATGTATATACATTAATTTGTTAGAGATATCCCAGAATGGTAACTATACAAATCCAGGGTTGAACAACTCTGGTCACTACGTGTCTGGAAGACACCATCCCATCTAGTCTTGTACGTTCCAGACTGCACATCACCTTTCTTAGCGCTGAAGTAAACCTATTTAACTATTCTGAATGTACCAGATCCTGACAGTTTCCTATTTGGACTGTGTTGAAAGCTGGACACAAGTTAAATACAGTGAAACAATCTTTATCTCAAACACTCTAAAATCGATAGACATAAACAAATGTATTCGTCTGGCACTTTTACTTGAGAGTTCAAATATCAGCAAATCTACTTCTAACAGTACCCAGGCTGAGGAAATGTGTCATTATTTCCAAAAAACAGCAGCGTCATTATACTCTGGGTAGAGTTGCTTACCACGTAACTGATGATTACACTTAGTACAAAAAACGGATACAATGTCCGTGACTTACTAGTGTAAAATATTCACTGTCAATTTCTATACAGTATATGTTTCCCTACAGAAATATGTTCAGCAGGAACACACAAGTGATACCCTAGTTGAATGACCCGATTTAGAAAGTAACTAGGGTGAGAGGAACTTAGTGAGTAGCTTGAACGATACATTGGATTAAGTCAACATAGAAAATATGTAGAGTTTGGAAGTAATTTATATTAAATAAGATGGTATGAAACATGTATCCTTGATAAGACAAAGATCAGCAAGAATTTTTAATAGAAGTGTCAACAATTGTCTTATAACAAAATACATAGAACTATATTAATTTCTATGAGCAATTCACAAATTAATTTATCATATTTTTAACATATCAAAACATTTCATGATCTTGGATGTAAAGACTGATTACTCTAATAATTATTTTTGTAAATACAGTTCTGTAAGTTTCACCTGTTAACTTATTGGTAGTTCTTTCTATAAAAATAAGTTAAGTTTTTAAAAACAGTCTAAAATGATAATTAGTTGAAGTATTCCATTCTTTTCAGAAAAGTATCTTAACCCTAAAAATTATAAAACTTCTGGGTTCTCATTGATCAAGTAGTCTTATATTATTGAACAGCTTTGTTACTTTATTAAGTCTAGACTTTAACAAATATATTGTGTAAGTTGATATATCTAAACAGACAACAATGTTCGAGGTTGAACTTTGTGTTTAAACCAATTAGAAGTAGAGTATTTATCATGCATACTAAAGAGTTTTTGTCATATTCAAGTAATTACACATGACTATACTTTATAAAGTAAAACTTGTTTTCTTTTAGATACGTAGGCTTAATAGAGAAACCACTTCATACATCAATTACATCATGTCCTAATGAAGCTGTAACAGTGAAATTTTGAGAAACTAAACTGGAGTAAAGCTTTATTTAACTCTGTCGGGAAGAACGTAGATATAACATACCAATAAAAAGGTTAATATTATAACCATCAGATTCTCTACAGTAGATAACTTTCTGGGATGTTAAAGAACTGGTCGTTTTAATGACCAATTGTGTACACAAGATATTTACTTGATCTTTTCTTTATCTTTACTTCTTCAACACTCTTACTCCCTTACATTTCAGGTGGCTCCTCCATGGAGTTTTGTATCCTCACCAGGTCCTTCTCTTGTTTCACTTCCTTGAAACCAAGATACTATTATATATGTGAATTATTAAAGCTATATCCCAGATATTTTATACTTCTTTCGGTATTCTGTCCATAGAAAGTCTGATCTTCATTATAACACTTGTCACTTGTTGTACTCAAGAACCACGTTCGTGACATCTAAGAGGAATATGTGTTTATATTACACGTTTATAACCTTAGTTTTTCCTAACTCGAAAATGTCTTTAATATGAGTATTGAAAAACCTACACATTATAAATCTATAATGTTAGTTAACTTCAAATAATATTTCTGTCTTGTGTGTGTGCATAATATTAACTTTTGACACTTTATGTGTAGCTCTTTCAGACACGTCATTTGAAATATACAAACATATTGTGTTCACTTGGAGGTAATTGTTTTATATTATGTTATTCAACACATCAAAACATCTTACCGCTGCTTTATTAATCTTCTTAATGAACAATATAACCTATATATATAATGTAACTATAGCAACGCTCTAGCCACCACAATATGGGACTTCTTTCGTCTAAATGAAGGTACTCGATGGTATGAAAGTTAATGCTTCTGTAACATAGAATCCCCGTCCCACCAAATATGCTAATCCTTTCAGCCGTGAGGGCGTTATAATGTGACGGTCAATCTCACTATTTGCTGGTAGAAGAGTAGTCCTAGAGTTGGTGATGGGTTGTGATGACTAGCTACCTTCCCTCTAGTCTTTCACTGCTGACTCAGGGACAGCTAATGCAGATGACCCTCGTGTAGCTTCGCGTGAAATCAGTAGAGGGAATATAACTCCAGCTCCACCATCAGCAGAGGAAATGTGTAGGTTGAGACAGAATAAAACTCTACAGGGAGTTTAATTCCAGCTCCACCATCAGGAGAGGAAATATGTAGGTTGAGACAGGATAAAACCCTACATGGAGCTTAATTTCAGGTCCATCATCAGGAGAGAAAATGTGTACGTTGAGACAGGATAAAACCTTACAGGGAATATAATTCCAGCTCCACCATCAGCAGAGGAAATGTGTAGATTGAGACAGAATAAAACCCTACAGGGAGTTTAATTCCAGCTCCACCATCAGGAGAGGAAATATGTAGATTGAGACAGAATAAAACCCTACATGGAGCTTAATTTCAGGTCCATCATCAGGAGAGGAAATATGTAGGTTGAGACAGGATAAAACCTTTCAGGGAGTTTAACTCCAGCTCCACCATCAGCAGAGGAAACGTGTAGGTTGGGACAGGATAAAACCCTACAGGGAATTTTATTCCAAGTCCATCATCAGGATAGGAAATGTGTACGTTGAGACAGGATAAAACCCTACAGGGAGTTTAACTCCAGCTCCACCATCAGGAGAGGAAATGTGTAGGTTGAGACAGAATAAAACCCTACAGGGAGTTTAATTCCAGCTCCACCATCAGGAGAGGAAATATGTAGATTGAGACAGAATAAAACCCTACATGGAGCAACCTACATGTTTCCTCTGCTGATGGTGGAGCTAGAGTTAAACTCCCTGTAGGGTTTTATCCTGTCTCAACCTACAAATTTCCTGTTCTGATGATGGACCTGGAATTAAAAGACAGGATAAAACCCTACATGGAGTTTAATTCCAGGTCCATCATCAGAACAGGAAATATGTAGGTTGAGACAGGATAAAACCCTACAGGGAGTTTAACTCCAGCTCCACCATCAGGACAGGAAATATGTAGGTTGAGATAGGATAAAACCCTACAGGGAGTTTAACTCCAGTTACACCATTAGAACATTCGAAATATTGGTTGAGACAGGATAAAACACCACAGTAAGTTTAACTTGTTAATACTGAATTATAGGTTTATATAACCACGTAAAGAATCATTTTAAGGATCTCTTTCTGTATTTCAGGTTTTATATATTTTGACAGCAACTGTTAACGTCATGAATATAAACAACAAATAACTACACATCAAACGGAATAATCAGCAACTAATGTTTTATTTTCTGCAAAAAATTCATTACTGCAGAAACGAATAAGACATCTTAGAAGAGACAATTCTAGCGCCATCTATCACCAAGGTTTCTCCAGTTATAAACGAAGCCTCGTCAGAAGCGAGAAAAGCGATTGCACTGGCGACCTCTTGTGGTTGTCCTCCTCGACCAAATGGCTGTGTTTCGGCTTCTTCTTTCATCACCTATAATATAAACGTTTAAAGAAATTTAGTTATTCTTAAGTTAGGCTTAAAGGTTAAAGTAAAGAAAAATATATTTATATCACATATAATACATAGACATTGATTTATATATTTGATGAATAAACTGGATTGCAGAAAATATTAGAATACTGTTATTACACTACGTAACAAATATAAGTATTAGAATTAATTATGTCTTTATTTATTTTCTGATATGTTGAACTGGATAAGTAAGTATTATACCTTTACGAAATCGTTAAACTTATGTGTAACAAAATGGCGTATTGACCACAGTATATTGTTTCCTGAATATGTTATTGAAAAAAGAAAACACTTGAGCATTAAAAGATGAATTTTAAAACAGCACATCCATTCTCTGTTCAGTTGTTAACACTGAATGTTGTAACAGGGAAAATTACATGACGTAGTTAGTGAAGTCAGGTCGAGATATACAGTATAAAAATAAGCTGATAAGTAAATTATAACATTATATTATATAAACAACCGTCAGAGACCAATTATATATCTTTGGTTTTAATTAACACAATGATCTCTATTTTCTATGACTTTTGAAACTTGAATTAATTAAATCATATTTTAGTTATAATAAAACAAATTGATACCCTTTACACGTACTTCCTTTACGTCTATTCCAACTGTTGATAAGATGTTTGTTTCTATAGTTCCAGGACTGTAAAATATAAATAAGAACATTAACATGTCAAATATTGTTTACAAAATTTAACTTGTGATTTATAAATGCGGTAAGAGATAGATGTGAAGTCTTGTGTGTGGCCGCGAACCATGAAACCTCAGGTCAGTGATGGCAAGTATAAGAAGCTTGGGAAGGCTTAGCTTCCCCAAATAGGTGAAAAAAAGATATCTTTTCTATGACTGCCCAAACAGCACCTCCCCCTTTAACACCTGTTGTGGATAAACAAATAGCCTCCCAAAATACAATGTTCCTTATGGAGCATAATTTTCTACAACTCAAAATATTATCAACTACAAGCAAAAATACCCGTCCCCAGTGATGGCAAAAGGTTAAGTTAATCTATCAATTTAAATTATTTCATGGACTTTAAAAATGCTTAATTGTGTTGCACACTTGGTTTCACTCAGAGTCAAAGCTCTGAGCTACTTATACCGCCCAACACTTAAAGTAATTGTCGGGCATTTCATTCATGTTAAGAGTCACTCAACTATAACGTACGGTAAATCTACGTTTTTATTGTTTAAGCTACGTTACATTTTCAAATGTAAATGATAGTGTGATTAATTCCTAACAATTTAGTGTAGAATATCCTGCTTGTGAAATAAAATTCGGCATCAACATTATGCATGCTTGTTCTCCCGCCATTTCAAAAGTGAATATTGAGGTTTTCCTGTGTGCGCAGCTTTTCAAACGGGAGACAGACGAACGCTGGGACAGACACCACGGTTCGCAATTTATATAAAATATGTGACAGAATAGGCTACCGTAACAAAATATTCGCCACCTGTACCTCAGATTCACAGTCCGAGTATGATAAACGCTAAACTACGCCCAGTTTTAAATCGAACAAATTACAGATTAACATGTATCCGAATGGCTTTTATAAATATAGTTTATACACAGATAAAAATACACTTACTTTACTGAATTCACTCTGACTTGTTTGGGAGCAATATCTGGAAAAAGACAATTGAACACGTGATAAATATCTATTTTTTCATTTACGTTTATTGGTGCTGTATATAACTTAATCACTTAGACATAGGTATCTATAACTCATGATGAATAATGAACAAATAAACAAAACCTTGCTTCAAAAAGAACTCATAATTAATAAACAGTCCTAGCTTAGTTTTTAAATATGAAAACATGTTTGGTTCTCAAGATTTCGTACATTTATTAATAATCTCACCTAATGCCACACTTCTGGTAAACTGATCTATAGCGCCTTTAGACATGGTATACGAAAGTAATCTTGCACACTAGAAAAATTCGACGAAATATATTTATTATAAATTAGATCCATAATGTTAAATTCTGTTTATTGTCATAGTCAGAGAAAATAATGTCATGTTTCATTTTTATAGACTTCAATAGAATTAAATACATCTGACTAAAGCTTTCTATTAAGTTTTAACTACTCTAATTTTCTTATAGGATTATGACCGAAAGTATCGCTAGCAGTGAGTGTTCCAAATTATCTTATAACGAGAAACTCATGATAAGTAAATCCACGATCGAAAGGGGGTGAACTAAATAATAGGATAAAAATTAACGTGACAATAAGAGGTGAAACGAAATATATTACACACGGAAAATTTATAACAAAAAATACCACTCCTTAACACGTTTTAACTAAATTAAAAGCTACAATTTTTTCACTTGGTTATTCAATGTTAGAGTACTTACTCCCCTTTTGCTGAGAATGCTCGAAACGTTGACAATGGAGCCTTTACTTTCAATCAGGTGAGGAACAGCTAGCATCGTCAAGTGATAGACAGCTCTTTGAAAACATAAAAGAAAAATAATTAAACATCTTTAAAACTAACTATTATAGCAATAGATGGCGCCACTACAAAAACAAATCGACGATCGGTCGGATATCTACAGAATATTTATTGCCAAACTATTTTACAACGATCCTGGAAAGTTTCCATTAAGGAAATTTGTAGATAATTTACAAATTACTAGAATCTCATCTTTAAATGTATTTTATTTATAAATTATTTCTATATTACTTGATATATCATGTAATAAACTTATGCAGTATAAACTTATAAACTTATGCAGTCTGCCATCAAATAGACTACGTAAAAAGAGTAAGGCTAAAATTATAATACTTATTGTGTATAATGATATTAAAGTCAAGTCAGAGTAATTGGTACGGCGCTTGCATCCGGTGTAAGATGGGTTGAACCTGGAAATTATATTTTTATTACATTTAGAATAGACAGGCCTATTTAGTTATAAATTATTAATCATACACCTACTTATACGTCATATATTTAACCTCACACACAAAAGAAATGTATGCAGAATTAGAATATTATTTTATCTCCTCCTCTGTCAGTTATGTCCTCCACCTGTGTCCCTGGGTAGCATAATTTGATTATTTTCTCCCTATTTACCTCACAGACTATTCTATCCACATGTCTTGTCAAGGAATCACCTCTAACTATAACCTCTTTATCATCCACATCCTTCTCTGACACTTCTGTTTTTCTTCCCTTCAATACTTCCTCGTCTGCTGAAACCAAGGGCTGAAATTTGTTGCTCAACAGAATCGACTCGTTATAACTAAATTCACTACTTTTTACACTAATACTACTCTTTCTAACTTCCTGAAAGTCAGTGTTAGCTGATGTATCCCTTGCATGTAAAAGATTATGAGATGGCTGGGCAGTATTCCACATCTTGAACAGTTGATGGACAAGATGACTGCATTAATTGTGAGCTGGTTAAGAAAAACTGGGAATTTTTAAATGATAAGGCTCCTGAGCCAGATAATATTTCCACAAGGGTTCTGAAGGAGGTTAAAAAGTGGATATGTGAGACACTTACCACTATTTTTGTCAGTCCTTGAGAAGTGAGTAAGTACCAGAGGATTGGAAGTTAGTTAAAGTAACTCCTCTTTTCAAGGGAGGTGATAAACATTGTCCCCGTAATTATAGATCCATTAGTCTTAGATCAGTTGTGGGAAAGTTTGGAAAGTATGTTAAAAAGATGCTGTGCAAAGTCATTTAACAAAGTTTAGAATTTAATTGGATAGTCAACATGGTTTCACTAAGGGAAAATATTGCCTTATAAATCTTTTGACATTGTCTGAAAAGGTTACTGCTTATGCATATGAGAGTAAGGGTGTATCTGAATTTTCAGAAAGCATTTGACAAGGTGCCACATAAAAGGATTGTAAAAAAATATCTCTATAGGTGTGGGGGATAAGTTAACAAATTGGATAGAAGAGTGGTTGGATGGAAGAAAGCAAAGGTTGTTACAAATGGAGTTCAGTCAAACTGGATTAATGTCACAAGTGGGGTACCTCAGGGCTCAGTTTTAGGGCCTTTGCTCTTTTTGATTTACATCAATGATATAGATGAAGGAATAGTTAATAAATTGCTTAAATTTGCAAATGATATTGAGGTCTTGTGGGATGCTAGCTGTGAAGAGGATGCTGCTGATTTACAGAAGGATTTAGATCATTTAGTGGGTTAGGCAAGTAAATGGCAAATGGG